AAAAAAAGATAAATACTGTATTTAGAAAGTTCCTGAAAACATAGCAAAACAACTGATAATTATTCATAGAAATAGTAAATTGTTACATATATTAGCTTTGCCAAAATAAAAATTAATTACATTAACAAACCAATTAAAATATGATACTCCAAAACACTCACCAATCAAGATTGCACGTCCTTTGGGATCAACAGCAAGAAACTGTCCCGGAACAATTCGTCGACAGCCAGTTTTCCCGAATGTTTCCTGGTGAACTCTTTCAAAACACACTTTCTGTGCATTATATTCCAGAATTACAATACGTCCGGCATCCGAACCAATAACAATATAATCTATAAGAAATTTTTTGAGCGTACATTTTTAGAATTTCTTGCCTTACTTAAAAAAAAAAAAAAAAAAATATGTCTTGAACTTTTTAAGTTAGTAAAAAAAAGGACGAAACTAAGCACCAACAAATCCTATATATTTAAAAATCATAATCAAAAAATACAAACCTTTGCTTCCTCCAGTTAAACGAAAAGCCAACAAAGATCTTATAATACCAAAGGCATTATGACTGCATAAAACATGAATTTTTCCTGTTTTCGGATCACAAAACAATAACTGAAGAAGATTGCCCCGCGCAATGCATACTTCCTGTAATACAAACAATTTAACCATTCGTTCAAACACCTCAAGCTATGAACATTTTGTTTAACCAGGTGATTTATAAATCAACAAATCGAAATTAATTGTTTAATAGTAACTCCTACAGTTTTTTGACGGATTGATAATTGTTAGTTCCTTTAGTTAATCAGCATAACCTGGTAAGTTAAGTTAGTTACATAAGAATGCTTTAATCATTCTACATGAAGCAGACATAAACAAATCGGACTGCTCAAAAAACCATTTCGCTTATTTTTTTTTTTTGTAATTCACATTCAAGTTTATGCATAATAAATGGAGCCTCATATATTTCTTCTTCTTTTATCAACATTCTTTTCATTTATTTAAGTAAGTAATAAACTACGTGAATCCACTCTAAATAAATCCTCCTCTAAGAAAAGTGGAATTAATAAATTATAAGTGGAGCATCACACTTAATTTACAATATCTGCTGTTTCTATTTAATAAAGTTCATGCTTTTCCGCTTAATTTCAGCAATATACCTGTTGTTTTGGCAAACCGCAGAAAGATCCATGAATTGCTTGGTTGATTGCTGATGAACCTTGCAATGTTAAGTTGTACAAATACATAACTTCTTCGAGTTTCACTTACTTTTATCTCACACAACCCTGAAAATCTATAATCTGACATTTCATAAACGCATAAAAGTTGCTATCAATAATGAACGAAAAGCAACGAAGTATACGATTATAACCAGTGTTACAGTAATAAACAATAAACATTTACTCCAATCAACGTTAACAGTAAATAAACCATCCGGAATACCGTGGCGGCATGAACGGACATATTGTGTTACTCTCATAGTTACTTACTTGAGCACCTACTCATTATAAATTTGATATTGGGAAATCAGTTAGTCGTCCAGAAAATTGCTACTACTTTAATATCTTTATCAACTAAAAACTGTATAGCACAGATAATTAATTACCCCATCTCTTCCATCCTATCAGTTAAATGCTCTCAATCACTGCTACAACTACTAGCTGCAACAATTTCACCATTCTCTCACTCTATCACAGCATTATCTTTTACCATTTCCATCAATCTCTGCAATATCCTTAATCACATATTCTCTTTTCCTTCATTTCCCTAGACTGCCTCTGTCTCAGCATATAGCAATATTTCTTGAACTGTCTAATGCTTAACAACAAACTATTTTGCTGTTTCTTAATATTCCAATACTCTCCATTTCACACACTATTCAATAAATTCAGCAGTTCAGATTAATATGACGAAATCAACAGTTGCATGCAACGAACCATGAAACGAATTGCGTCCAAAATTGCCGTGTAATTAAATAAATTGAATTTGAATAGTGCATTCCGTGATTTTAGATGTGGGTAAAGTTGTTTTAAGAAAAAGCAGTAATTATTATATTTTATGATTAAAAGAAGGATTTTCTATTGCTTTGATATCATTAATACATTACCAACTTAAAATACTTCCCTAAATGTTACTTCACTACCATTTTGTTGAATTACTTTTTATATGCCACAACAATTATCATAATTAATTAAGAGAACTATAATTAAAGAATGCTTTTGAATAAGTTCAATATCTTATCACTTATACACCAATTCTTACATGCTGCTTTAACAGCTATTGTTTTTTTTTTTTTTTTTTTTTTCAAGAAATAAGTAGTACATATATCAAGGAATAATTGTTCTAAGCCATAGCTGAAAATAAATTGCTTTTATTAAAGTTTATTTGTGAAGTGAAAGGCATCATGATAAATCATTTCCGTTGAATTTATTATTTTCATAATTCATTTTATTTAAACTATGACTACAAATAAAGTTTTCGAGATGTGCGGAATTCTGCTTGTAAAGCAATATGACGAAGCAATTGACAATGATAGAAATATTTTGAATATTATTTCTTCGCAATTTCTGCACCATTAAAATTCATTCTTTCGCTATTTCAATTATAAATGAAAATTTAAGCTATTGAATGAAACATAAAAATTTTACTACTTGTCTACTACATTCATTTACATCATTTTGATATATCAAAAAAGCAGGAAAGAATGATACTATTGAACCATTTAAAAAAAAAGTTTATCAATTTCCAATACTTCTTTCTTTAGATGAATTTCCAATTTTAATAAATAGTTGAAGTGTTAAAATTTGCAAACTACAAAAAAAAAATAGAATAAACAGTTAAATCGTACTATATATTTTGAACTGATATTCGATTTAATTTTGCTTATTTACGTTAATTTGATAGTTACATAATATCAATAGAATATTATCTAACAAAACTTTTTTTTACTACAAAATACTATAAATTTAGAATATAACTTTGAAAAAAAAAAAAAAAGCTCAAAGTACTATTACCTATAGTAATATTTTGTTATATTTTTACCGAAAAGATCAAATTAGTGATGAAAATTTAGTAGCATACAAAATATCAACGAATAGAAAGATAGAAAAAATGATTTAAAAAAAGAAAATACATTCATATTTTCAAACATTATTTCTAAAATTAAATCAATAAAAAAAAAAAAAATTAGATTAAAAAATTGCAATAGTTTTGGGCTTTATTTTTTTTTTTTTTTTTTCTTCTTTTTCTTATTTTTCATTTACATTTTCAAAAATTTTCCAACAATGAAATGAAAATTTTTAAGCATTTATAAATAAATTAGAAAAATACTAAAAATAAAAGATAGGAATTTAATTTTGAATGTAAAATTCACACGATAAATATATTCACTTTTATAATATAATATAAAGTATTAAAGGTAAGTGAACTAAAGTATTATATACTTTGTTATGATTACACATTTGTTATACTATTATTAAAATTTCAAGTATTTATTTGCATACATAAATACATATATATATTTATATTTATATGTATAAATTTTAATCAACAAATTTTTGAAAACATGAAACATATACAATGAGAAGCCACGATTTTTTACAATAACATAATACTTACTTTTTTTCTTTTTCCTTCCTTCCTTTTTTTTTTTCCTTTGTTGTTTATTATTATAAATTATTAAAATGTAAATAATACTTTTATATACAAATGTATAGAATTAGCATAGAATACAGTGAAAGACTGGTTCTTCACATTCAACCAATATTTATTATACACATAGAATTTGAACAATGTCAAAATGCTCATTCTTTTTGCATTGTCAAACCAAAGTCAAATTTATCTATCAAATTTAACAAATTTTTTCATTCAACTCTTTTTCTCTTTCGTTTTCTAACAAATATTATAGTTCATACAATTTATATTTGTTAATAATTAATCATTATTTATTAGAAATTATCTAATTTTAAATTTACTAAAAGTTTTTTCAAAAAATTAGTCTCAAATTTAATTGTGAAAAATTTTCATAGTGCTTGAATAAAATCAATATATTTTTGAAAATTTCAAGAATTGAAACATCACTTATTGATTATTAAACACGTATAAGGTAAACCTATAGTTTTACAATTAGTACGAAGATTTTTATTCCATTAAACGACTGAACAATTCTTAAAATTAAATTATAAACTTCATATAAAAAAATATGAAAAGGATTCTTAGCTGTTTAAATGAATTTTTTTTCCCAAGATTTAAAATGAATCCTTTTGAAAATTCAAATTCATCAGCATCTTCTTAACAATCATTTTTTTTAATTAGCAGTTATTAACTATTTGTTATCAATATTTCTTTCTCAGAATAATTTACATTTTTCAAAATTATTTGTTCCATAGGTTGAGATCACGTCATTAAATCTTAGATGAAAAAAAAGAAAATCTAAACGAATCTTTCATTCATTTCCAGCAGTTAAATCATTTTTTAGCATTTATTTTGTCTTTATTTTTAATCTTTTTACATAAATTATTCGTAAAAATTTACCAGCATTTATGGAAAAACTAATAAAAATAACAAAAATGTAATAAATAATAAATAAAAATTAAACGAGTAATTTCTATGAAATCAAAATTTTCAGAAATAATACAATTATCCAAATATTACTTTTTTTTTTTCTTCTAATGTTTAATAATTTTCATCATGTTTATTTATTATTGAAATTTATTGAATTTTTTTTAAAAGTTGAATAAACTGGTTTGCGGTACAATTCCTTTCTCGAAAAGAAAAAAAAAACTTTTGAAGCATCAATAATTTAATGGGATGATTGATTTGATCATAGTTTTTTCTTTTTTTTTTTTTAGGTTATTAAGCAGTGATATTATTTTATATGTTATTATGACGTTATTAATCAATTAGGTAATATTAATAATAAGCAATTTTTTTTTTTGAAATTATTTTTGAAATATTAGAAGATTTAAATTAGTATATTATTTTCACATTCAAAAAGTTTTACAGAACGACTAATGTCACCAAATATGACAACAATTTCTGCTGTAACAAATTCATTGACAAGCACAGTACCATCATTCATTGTTGAAAACTTCCGTAATAAACGACAATTTTGGCACGATTATAGTTACGATAGCTATTACGGATATGGATTGTATGTTTATAAATAATTTGAATTCTGTCAATGTCAATTATTTGATATAGAAAAGATAAATTATTAAATTTTTTTATTACTCAAAAATAAAGAAATAATATTTTATGAAATATTTCCTTTTTTTTTTTTTTTTTTGCAATCATTTCAAAATTTTTGCTTCATTTTCTTACAATAAATAAAGTGTCTTTCCATTTAAAAAGAGAAATTGAATTTATAATTTTTCAAATAAATAGCTTGCAATGTTTTCATTCAAAAAAAATTTTTTTAAAGTTTAAATTAGCTAAAAAAAAAATTCTATTAATTTTAGCCAATGGCATCGAGTAATCCTCAGTATTCTGTTCTTAATAGCATTATTCCTATGTTGCTTGGTACCTTGTATATGTGCGCTTGGAATTTGGTTCGCAGGTTGGTTTGGACTACGTAATCAGGCTACCAGTAAAGGTAACATTAATTCTCCGGTTGCTACAAATGCCTACACACAACAACAGCAACAACCTGTTATACCACCACAAGAAACTGTGATGCCGCAGAGTAAGTTGTATATTTGAGATTACCTCGAAAATTCATTTGCAATTAATATTTTAAAAAACTCAATTGAATTAAGAGAATTTTCTATGAATTTAACAAACGAAGAAAGAAAAAGAAACCACATAAATTTCAATTTATTTGGTATTTTTAAAATCATACTTAAAGTCGTTCCAGATTCCGCACCAACTGGATCAGGAAATTCTCGAGAACGTATGGACTCTTACATTTATGAGGAAAAACGTAGCGATCGCTTTTATCATCGACCTCCATCGCCACGTTTACATGATGACTATCGACGACCTTTCACGTCTTCCAAACTGTAATCTGTAAATTTACTTCGCTTCTAATCACTGTGATCTTCATTTGCTCCCTTTAAAAAGTTTACATGAAATCATTAAGCAATATCACTCATGCCACAGCTATATAATAAGTGCTAAGCACAAATTACAATTCACAAAATATGCATTCATTCAATTTCATTTACTCCAATAAACTAAACTTTTGGTCCTTTCAATTTAATTTCTCGACTTTTTTCAAGGACAAATTTAACAGTTTGGCATATATACAGACTATCTCAAGGCCTATGAACCTTAGTTTATTCATTTGTTTGCCACATATTAATCTATTTTAAGAAAATATTAAAACAGATTAATATGTCATGAAATACGCAATAACTGCTTCCTATACAAATTATATTTTGCCTTTAAATTTAAATAATGCAACACTGTCAACATGACATTTAACATTTTTTTAAATGAGGCAATAATATATAAGGCTAAACAAATACTATATATAAAAAAAAAAAAAAAAAATAGCTCTCCTCATTCTACAGAATAATTCTTAGCATTTGGAAAGAAAGTTTGGAAATAGAAAGTGGAAAACCATTTCAAATAATTTGTTGTTCATTTTGATGCACTGGCACTTCGGCGAAAACAGTAATAATTCAAAAAATCAATTAATACTTCATAATGTTCCTCATTATGATGTATGAGTCCCAATGCTTCTATCGATAAAAACATCATCCTAATTTGTAATGTATTTAGCATAATATTTATGATAAACATGACAAAACTGAAACATCCAGGGTTTTCCAGAAATTTTATAGAGGAATTAATATCTCAAGATCCTAATGACTTTCCGAATCAGTTGACATTTTTTCCTGTAAAATTCCGTTTGCAGTGTAATAATTAACAGACGGAAATGTTGCAATTTTTTTTGGTATGAATGAATACGCATTCGAAATGTTTCCGGAAAAGCTCGGAATTAAAAAGCAAAGAACATAAATATCAATTTCTACTAATCAATACTTTTAAATCATTCAAAAATGAAATATAAAGTAATCAAAGTTTTCGGAATACAGTGACTCTGGAAGGACCAACAAACTGAATATTTATGTGATTAAGAGAAACATGGGAAAGATGGAAATTTATTATTTAAGAAGTCCTAATACCTTTCCTTTTCCCAGTGCAGTCAATGAGTAAATTATCAACTTTGAATGCAAACCAAGAAATCAATAAAAGCAATAATTAGGGATGACCATTTATATGCATGTAATATTAATTTTGGGTAGAAAAATATAAATTATCATAAAACACTAAAGAAAATATGCAGCAGTTTTTTCTTCCTGTTCTTTCCTTCAACTTTTATTAACCAATTTCATTAGACCATCAGTTGAATGAGATTTGGGACGTTCGAGTGGCAAGCCCATAGCACGAGACCATATCATCTGTGATAAACAACCGAGTGCACGTGAGACACCAAAAAGCACCGTATAGAAGGACATCTCTTTCATGCCATAATATTGAAGCAGCACTCCAGAATGTGCATCCACATTTGGCCATGGATTCTTGGCCTACAATAATCATAATAATTTAAACCTGATGTATTTTTGTAGGTCGACAAACCATTTCAATGGTTTTTCTAAATCAGTTGGAGTCCTTACTGTTCCAACCAAGTCTAGGAAATGTTTTCATCCCAATCATGAAATTCTTCAGAGGACTAAATTACAAAATTCTGGATACTTTTCAACGTTTCATAATTGTATCGCACCTTTCCTTGCTTCAAAAGGATATCAGGAGTAAATTCATAAAGCTTTGAAACGAGATGGAACATTGGATCCTTCGGAAGATGCTTCAAGGCAAACTCCCGCTGGCACGTGTATCGAGGATCTGTTTTGCGTAGTACAGCATGACCATAACCCGGTACTACCTGAAATAGTACTAGTACTACTCAAGGCCTTAAATACTCTTGAAATTCGGTACGCTGATTTATAGTATGATGAATATTCCCGAAAAGATTATCTGAAAAGCTCATGTTAAAATTCCACCTGTCCACTTTTCAAATGATTCCATATCCAGTCACGCAACTGCTGATCAGTGTAGTTATCGCCTAGTTCTTTTCTGCACTTTGTTAAGAACACCAGCACCTAAAGTTAAGAAGTTAAGAAAAGAGTAATTTATTGAGAAAATAAAATAAAAAATCCAACTGCGATATTTTTATCTTTTATGGTTTTACAAATAATATTATTTGAAAATTAAGTGACCGGAATATTATGTTGGAGAATGGAAAATATTTGATTAAAAATAATGGAGAATGTTTAATTAAATATAAAAATAACCCTTTTGAATATAGAGAAACATTATCAAATAAGCAAATTAAAGATATAATTAATGCCATGGACAGCTAGTAATCGAGCAAATTAAACCTCTTGATTGGCCAGACCATGTAACGGTCCAGCAAGTCCACCCATAGCAGCAGAAAACGATAAATATGGATCTGCTAACGCGGAGCTCACTAGATGAGACGTATGCGCAGAAACGTTACCGCCTTCGTGATCGCTATGAATTGTGAGATACAAGCGCATAAGTTCAGTGAACTTTGGATCATTAAAACCCAGCATTGATGTAAAATTGGCAGACCAATCATTCGATGAGCTTACTACACTTGCCAATGTACCTGCAACTGGCAAATATAATTTCCAAAAAATTTCAAAATTTAATACATGTTAATTTTATTATAGTTTAATACATTATATTATGCTAGGAATCTTCAATAAAATAATTAACAAAATAAAGAAAAATAGCAAACAATAAATGGACTTCACTTAAGTTATTCAAAAACCTACCATCTCTGTATAAATTTCGATAAATAAGTGCAGCAATTGTAGGTAATTTTGCAAGAAGTCTCATAGCATCTTCATATACAAATTCCCAATATTTCGCTTTCTGTACTCCTTTACTGTAGGCCTAAAGTATGTTACATTATACTTCTAAATGAATAATAAATAGAGAAGTAATGTGTCACTAGCTCTAACTATTTGCTTCCAAATTTCGTTCCATTTGCTATAAATTCATGAATTTTTTGCATGAATTAGTTCTGCAAATATCCAGCTTCTAAAAATTCGCTAAAATAAATTTACATTCAAGCATGAATAAAAACTTTTGCTCATACATACTTCGGCAAATTTACTGTCACAATTAAGAGCGGCAATAGCCGACACAAACTGAGCCATAGGATGCAAATTATTCGGAAAATTACAGATCATTTGTTCGACATGCTTTGGTAGATCTGCATGAGCAGCCCATTCCTTACTGAAATTATATTAAAAAATGACTCTATCAAAATGCTAGTACGCAATGCAACGAAAATGAGGAAAAGGAGAGAACACAAAATGCAAAACTCTAAAAGATCTCTGAAGTGTTTCTGAAAAATAAGAACTAATCGCTAGATTTTCCGAATATAATTACTTACCAAATATATATCAAAAATCTATAGAAGATGACTGCATTTCTGATCTTAATTATCAATGATAATAACAGCATGCAATTTTATTTCGCGGAAAATATTCAAATATTTAAGCAATTTAGTTTAACTTTCATGAATATTAAATCTGTTTTAAATTACCTTTAAGGGATTAAAAAGTTAATGACACTAATGAAAATACCTGATCGCTGTAGTTTGTGCCTCAGTTGGAATATCACCAGTGCACAGCAGCCACCAAATTCCTTCCGGTAATGGTTCTTCACCTCCTTTTGCCTTAGGCAACATTTTTTGGCATTCCGGTATAGAATAACCACGGAATCGTATACCTTCTTCTGGATCTAGCACAGATGTCTCAGTTACCAGCGCCTGAAAATTGATTTTCATCGAATTCTCGTTTCAAAAAAGCCACTTTTTCTGAGTGTTCCTATGGATACTTGCATAATAAGTGTCACCACTTCTGCTCAAGTAATATAATGCTTCATAATTACTAATAAAACCCATTTGAAACCTCGAATTAGCTTATTTATAAACTATAAGAAAACTGCAATTATCACACTTCCTTTTCTAATTTTTAGAAAGTAGAATATAAATCAAACATAATGTATCGAAATAACAACAAGCAAAAAATTCAGCCATAAAAATCACTTTTTAACCATCCGTGTCACTTTGAATCTACTTGAAAATAGTTACTGGCATTCATAAATTTAAATTTCAAAAATCATGTAATAAAATTTTCAATATAGAACGATCAGCTGAAATATAAGTTAGAAAAAAAACAAACCTTCAAAGTCCGCATTCCACCATAAAGCATATCTACAGTTACATTTTGAATTACCGTTGCACCATGCTGTTTTCGAAATTCTCGGACTTTCTCGTTATGAATTGAAATTTTTTGTGCAAGCACCTATAATTACGCGAAGTGAAATTCAAAATTTTTTAAAATTTGAAAATTTTGTTGGCAGCAGTCAAAATTATTGGTCTGTGTCAATGGTACATCTCGTAACCAATAATTATGACTTGGTAAAACTGCTTTAACATCAATGGTTCGAATAAGGAAAGATGGTCTAATAAGGAATGTCACCTCCTCAAATTCAATATCTCAATACAATTGAAATAACCCATATTATCAAAAAACATGAAAAAGCTAACTTCTTTGAGATTTGTAGTTGAAGCCGCTGTTGAATATTGTAAGAAAGCTGTCAAACCCTGCAATTGTTAAAAATGAATGGTAAAATTTTCAGAAATGAGAAACTTTACTAAAGACAGAAAATATTATCTTTCTTTAAGCAAAATACCATGGTCCCCGTTTATCCAGGAGACCTAATTAAGCATATTTAGTAATAAGTATTGATTAAATTCAACAGCACATACTTTTAACTGACAAATACGAATCTTCGCAGTAAGAGCCATAACACATAAACAGCGTATGTTTTGCGAGAGATATGCAAATTCCAAACACAACTGAAATTTGAAATCATAAATACGTGCACGTAAAGGACATAGAATAGAAGATGCAATCCGATGGCATAAATCTTAACGTTGATGAAACGATGAAAGCCTAGCAATGAACAATAAAAGCTTAGAAAAAGAATAATACGTCCACTTAGGTTTACTAAGCTGATTGATAATAATAATAAATATACCTAGCAAAAATAAAATATAAACATATACCTAAACTGTGAATTTTGGATCATTACAAGTAATAATAATAATAAAATATACCTAAACTAAGCAAAAATAAAATATACCTAAACTGTGAATTTTGGATCATTACAAGTAATAATAATAATAAAATATACCTAAACTAAGCAAAAATAAAATATACCTAAACTGTGAATTTTGGATCATTACAATAATAATAATAAAATATACCTAAACTAAGCAAAAATAAAATATACCTAAACTGTGAATTTTGGATCATTACAACTACAATTAAAATAAATTCATGGAACCTTGTAACTTATTTTTGTTTTTATCTATTTCTTCGCACTAAAAATTATCATGAAAAAGATAAGAAATCATAAAACTACAATCACTATTAACAATACAGTGTTACAAAATAAATATGTCATCTAGAAATAATGAAATAGAGGAAGTATTTCAGTAATAATCATTAAACATTTAAGAATTCAAGCTCAAACATGAAGTTCAAATCAATGAACGAATTGATATTACTACTTTTTAGCATTATTCTATCTAATAAAATCAAGCGATAAAAATTTTGTGCAACTATCAGAGAACAGAAGCAAAATGAAGTAATATTGATTTGGGAAGCATACAGCACTAACTAAATAAACATCCTTCCATAATAATCCGTTTTAGACTTATCTTACTATATTTATTCAATAAAAAAAATTATTTTTGAAAAACACTTTTTAAAAAATGTACGACGTGTTTACGTAAAGGAATAGAATATGCATCTCACAATATCCTCTTAAAATATTATACTGAATAGGGAAAAGCACATGTATATTTCAGTGAATTCTGTAAAATTTAAATTTCAGATGACTAACGTGTTTTACGTCTTTCGATTAGCACTAACTACTGCGAAACTATTTTTTCGGAACATTTCTGATTATTAGAAGAATTTTGGCCAAATAACGTCAATATAAAGATATATATACTGCATGAAGCCTAGCGTCAGCACAGCGATACGTGTAACTGCATGAAGCCTAGCGTTAACACAGCGATACGTGTAACTGCATGAAGCCTAGCGTTAACACAGCGATACGTGTAACTGCATGAAGCCTAGCGTTAACACAGCGATACGTGTAACTGCATGAAGCCTAGCGTTAACACAGCGATACGTGTAACTGCATGAAGCCTAGCGTTAACACAGCGATACGTGTAACTGCATAAAGCCTAGCGTTAACACAGCGATACGTGTAACTGCATGAAGCCTAGCGTTAACACAGCGATACGTGTAACTGCATGAGGCCTAGCGTTAACACAGCGATACGTGTAACTGCATGAAGCCTAGCGTTAACACAGCGATACGTGTAACTGCATAAAGCCTAGCGTCAACATAACGGTGTAATGATACGTCTATTCTACGCATTAATATTTGATGCAACAAAGAGTGGTAATTAAAAATTGTAAGAGGAACGTAGTCCGACAAGGCAGTAGCGGTGTGTTGTTGTCAGTTAAGCAGTATATCACCTCCGCCCACAGACACAGACTCACACACACACATACATACGCATACACACAAACATGAATATGTACATAACGTGCGTACACACAACAGATAAGACACACGCACACACACACACACACACACACACACACACACACACACACACACACAACACACACACACACACACACACACACAACACACACACACACACACAACACACACACACACACACACACACACACACACACACACACACACACACACACACACACACACACAAATAGACATGCACACACAAGTACACAAACACAAACAGACACACGTGCACATATACAGACATATAAACATCCTTACAAGCAGACATATAGACATTCACGTAGAGAACACGCACAATAATGTTCACATACACTGACAGACAAATATTCAAATGGAGAGAGAGAGAGAGATAGGAATGTTTTCAATTGGTCAGCGACCTTTACTATGGTCAGTTTGCTATGGTCACTTGTGATTAGATTAGAGTTGTTTTTGCTCGATGAATTGTAATATTGGTTTCAATGAATTTATTTGACTAACTGATAAGATTGACTGCAAGTGATAGAGAATGAGAATGAGGTGATAAGAGATGAATGGGAGAGGAAGTAATGATTAATTTATCATTGCTGGTCAACAGAACCTCTCATCCAATAATTACTGCAACGATTTCTTTTGTCGTTTTTGCGCATCATATCGGTCGGTACATTTATCAAACACTGTCAACAATAACAGTGTCACCATTTCAATTTTTCATCAAACAACAACAATTCATTCTCTTAGATTATTTTCATACCATTGTCAAACAAAAGAAAAAAAAAAAAGGAAGAAAAGTTCTTCCCACAAATTTTGACAAAATTTAATTAATGCTTCTTTTTTTTTTTTTTATTCTTTCTGAATAAATATAATTACTTACCTGTTGTTATACTTTTTGATAATGTAATTAATTACCTAAATGCTTTAGGGAAGTTTACTCATTGATGAATTGTGACTAAAATTTCAAATGTAAACAATAAAATTTATTATTTCTCTTCTAAATACTATCAAACATGGTACTATTACTTCATTTATTCACTCTGTAATAGATTTCTTCCTGATAATAAGTCTCCATTTAATCAATAATTGATCCGAGTAAAATCAATGAGATTCGTTAGATATAAGTTATCGATTGATTGAATAATGATTGAACAGCATTCAATTCCTTTGAAAGTATAATCAATTCGGAAAATACCTCAATTATTTGATTGCTTATAGCTTTGTAGTCACTGTTAGCTAAATGTCAAAACTATTTTCCTGTTTTCTTTTTCCTCTTATCCGGCATAAAAACGGTTATTGGTAGTGTAACAATATCCTTTTCACAGTTTTATTCAATTTATGCCAACAATTCAAATTGTATTTGTTGAATTGCAACATGAAAAAAAAAAGTTAACAATAATTTTCAATTCAGCACAGAAATTTGTTTTCTTTTCTTTTCTTATTTACAAACAAAAAAAAATTTATTTTATTGAAATTATCGAACATTGATACTTGTTTATAGTTAAATGTTATAAACTTAATAAAAAATAATAATAATTAACAAATAAAAAATAAAAAAAGTAATCCGAAATTACCGCTTAAAAAAAATTTAATGTATCATTGAAACGGTAAGCAACAATAAATAGCATTTTCGAATATTTATCTGAAAAAATGAGAAAATTCATCCATTCATTCTTTAGATAAATGATAACTATCTTTTCTCTCTTTCTTATCACTTCACTTCTAATTGAAAAGATAAAATGATAAGAGTAGAATGCAGTTCAGTAATTAATTTCGCATCATTATGATTACTTGAAAATTTTCCTTTTTGATGAAAAAAATAAGGAATAATTAGGGTTAATTTCATTTTTTGTCTTAATCATTAAGGAAATATTTAACATTTACCTGTGAATTTAGGCGAGAAAACTAAATTAAGGCAAGTATCATATTTTCTTAAAATTCCGAAATGAAAATTTGATAGATTCCTGATACGAATAAACTTGATAGATTTAATTTTGAGGAAGAAATCCTGAAATCATTGCACTTCACACAGATCGTCTATAGATTAGCGAAAATAAATGATCAAAGAAAAACACTAAATCAAAACATTTAAAATTCTAGAATAGCTTTTGTTGCTGACATTTTCTCGAGAAAAATCATTCCCGAGAAGAATCATTCTTCTTGTGAATCATTCAACACTAATAGTCTTTATAATATTAAACAAAAAAAAGAAAAGGAATTAATGAAGATAATAAGAAATGGATAGAATACAAAAGAAAATTGAAAAGTATGTCAATCATTGTTAGTGATGATCAAAATGTCAACTATGATCGGATGACAATATCATAAAGATTTAAAATATCTAATATGAAATCGCGTAATATGTGACACTGATAAAATGTCACATATGATAATCGCGACATAAAGAAGAGAACAAAACTGAACAGTTCAAGTGATTGATGAAATTTCAAAATTTACATTCAAATTTTGTTTTATTTTTATTTATTTATTTTTTTTTTTTTTTTTTGCAATTTGTTTGTGAAATTTTGATAAAAAAAAAAAACAAACTATTACTATTGTTTAAGAATTGAAAACTATTAGAGAATCATTTGTAACGGTTTGAAATTTAGTCAATGAATTCAAATTTTCAGTTATTTTTTTGTTTAACAAAAATTAAGTTTTTATTGGATAAATTTTAAATTTTTATCACAAAAAAAGAGAATATTTAAGTAAAATTTTTTTAGGAAAAAAAATTGAATATTTGGTAATGAATTTGTATATATGTTATAAAACTTTATGTAAAAATTTTGAAAATTTGCATTTTTTATTATATACAAAAAAAAAAAAAAATTGTCCTTTTTTTGAGATTTAATTTTGTTTATCATTTAATGTTTTATCAAAGAACGTGTTAAATGATATTAAATGTATGCTATCATTTGATTAATCATATTATTATTTGCAAATATCATTCCGTTTTCTCTCTTTTTTTTTTTCACTTCTAAAATTATCAATTTTATCATTGAAATGATAAATTATTTCTTATTTAATTTTTGAACTAAAAAATTTTACAAAATTTTTATCGCAATATATTTTGGATTATTAGTCATTATCAATGGCAATAAATGATACAAATTTTTCTTTCATTAATTTATATTTCGTTGAGTGCAAATGATTAATAGCTTTTTTTTTCTCTTTCTCTTTCTCTCTCTCTCTCTCTCTCTCTCCT